CCAGTGGCATAACTGGGGGGGGGGGCGTACGTGAACCCCCCATTTGAAATTTTGAAATGGACATTTACGTCCATTTATGTAGGTAGGCGTGTAGACTGGCACCTAGTTCAATTATTTTCAGTGCCACCTGAACATAAGTTGTGCAACCCCAGGTGCCCCCTCAGCTGTAGCACCCTAGTTACGCCACTGCCGGCCCTCAACTTCAGCCTAGCGCAATTAAATGATTCATTAATTTGAACCACAACCGTCTGCCGTTAAGCATACAATGCCATTTTATTCCTGCACTTGAAAAATAATACATCCACAGAATAAAAAAAATCATTATATAAGTTGCAAAATTAACACAAACCTGACAGAAAGAGAGTGCTTGTACAATCTTATTCACACCCCAAATGGGGGCGTGGCGAAACGGACACAATGAAAGTCCCCACCGCTGTTTCGCCAGTGACATTACGTTTTGGTGTTTAAAGACCTATTTTAACATGGCCGAGTATACATGTACTTGGAATATGTATGGAAAGTTATATCACCAGATGCAGTTGTAATATATTCAAATGACTGGAATAGACTATAGTGTTACAAAAGGATTCAGACCAAACGACGTCAAGTGGAGAGCCAATGACAAGAACCGGCCATGCGGGTCATTCTAAAAATTAGGGGTTCAAATTTTTTCGTGTCCCTGTCACATCTGGCATGATTTTATAAGTCAGCTAGGTACAGCAATTTCGAGTGCAAACGGTTTCAACCATGGAGCTATTGAAAAAACTGGCCTGGATCCACGGTCATACACAATACCTCCATTTAAAGAAAGGCGAGTAGGGGTTAAGTAATGTGAACAGCAGCTGCTAGAATCGAACTCCTGACACCACGATTGGGTTACACATGCCAAATATAACCAGCGCGGACGTATTTAATAACGCTACTGATTGATTGAAGTCACCGGAAGCCGTGTTTTTGATATTCTGTCGAAAATATTAAATAATTTCAGTGCAACACATTCAATTATTGCCCGAGGCTTATGATGATGATGAGTAGGAACAAACTCTTGCAGATGACGTTCGTGTCTATTAGGGTTTACCGACGAAAGTGTGAATTTAATTCCAAAATTCAGTAAAGGCCAAATATTAGCGTTGAGCAAATGCTCGTCTGTTTTTTGTCGCCTTATGTGCATATTCTAAGCGGTTTTATTTAAAACAATATTATTTGCAGAACCAAATTAATTATAAATGAGCCGAAGCCAAGATTTCTTTCGGATTTTTTTAAAAGATTTTTAGAATAGGGGTTTCTTTCACAATAAATGAAACGCGAGGATACTACTCTGTGATACCGCTCTCTGCAGCACATTTGGTAAGACAAACTCCAATCCTCAGGCATGTCAGAAAAGGACTGTTCTTCGACGGTATAATAGAGCTCTGGCGATAAATAAACTGAGGGGTGTTTGAGACATTCCCAACCCCCCCCTGAAATCAAGTTGACAGGGTATAAACTTCGTGAACATTAAAATTGCGGGCAATGTATCTCAAATATATAGGCCTATTCTCCGCCATTTCAAAGTTGATTTGGCCATACTAACATTGACAGAGGGCCTGCATGAAAATGATACTTTCCAGTGTGGGCCTACATTCTGTTACAATAAAAAAGGAAAATGAATAGACATACAAAAGCAGCCCCAAAAAATCCTTTTTCAGTTAAAAATTATTTACAACGAATGAATGAAGGCAGCATTGGGATTGAAACCTTTATGTGATATGCCGTCAGGTCTGTGCAAAATCGTCACGGAACCATTATACGTATAGAACGGCATGTTGGGCCATAATTTACGGTTTCCTTGATTACTTGGGATACGAACATCATCTGCAAGACTTCGTTTCTACAAATCACTACCGTAACTCTTTAGCAGTAATCGAATGTGGTGGACTGAAATTTTTTATTTTTTCGACCAAAATATAAAAAAAAAAACACAACGTCGCAATCTTCAATTGGTTAACTTTGGTTTGTTCACAAACTTTCGGCACGGGTAAAATGCTGCCACTCTACTTCTGGTAGCTTCAGCGACGTCCGTATCAAGAATGCTGCATTGCGGGTCAAGATTTTTTTATATACGTCCAAGATAACCACTAAATAGGTCCAGCAGCCCCTCATATAGATACATGTATAATCACTAATTCTAATGATCCTCCGACAGGTTAGGGATTGCTGGGGACAGAGCGCTAGGAGCGAACATATGCGGTTAAACCTTCAAATTAAATCTGATGCACGAAGGATTATTTCCACTTTCTAGGACCATACCTACAAACCGATATCCTTAATGATCCTATTCCACAAATAGTAGGGATGGCTAAAAGCGACCTGGTTATTCATCAACATTTCATAATTGGAATATTTTCGGGGACAACAAAGGATAAGGTTGGGTGTTGAAAGCAAATTCATTTCTCTTCCGACTCGCACATCAACCCCAGCGGTCGCGTTTTTGACGTACAGGTGAAAATAGTTTCCCTGTCAATATAGGCCTACAAGTTCTGAGAAAAATATGAAAGCACACCCAAGTTATGCAAATTTTTCTTTTCTTCTGGGACTTTCAACTACGGGCTAATTCACCAAGAAATCTTACTATCTGTGTTTATAGTCCTCTCACGTTTTTCATTATAATCTGGGTTACTACAAAGTGCCCAAAATGACGTCGAAAGGGGGTGATCTTGACCGTAGTAACACAACTTATGTGAAAATGCCAAATTACATTCAAAATAAGCCATTTTAAAATAACAACTTTGTTGCGTACTTCATGTTGACAATATTCTAATTTGTGTGAAATGTTACCACTTACTCTGTGTTATTTCCTCATGCCTACGCAATACAAAGCCCCAGTAGACTGTAATGTTGGTCGTATCTCTAGCAATAAAAAGTGTATGGTAAAAAAACTTAAAAGCTTCACCTTGCGTTTTGCTAACAATAGTGGCTAGACGAAAATTGCACATCATAAAGAATACACAATATTTTAAAAGTACTGCAGATGACTTGTTTTTCTGGTTGTCAGGATTCTCTTTAACAACCCGGTTGTCATTTTGCACCACGATCAGGAAAATATACTGCCTGGCAACAGTACGGGCCGCAGAAATGAGAACCAGTTAACGAATCATAATGCAAAACATGACATTTTGGCTGGTAGTCTGTGAGCCAGTTTAGCAAGATCATTCGAGCACAAAAACACGTGCGATCTAAGAAACGGTTGCTTCTTTCGTGTTGCGCACCAGTAAATAAGCTGCCATAGACAACAGTGGCAAGTATCCCACTTAAAAAATGCAGGAAAAATACCAGTTTCTCAGGTGTTCAACACACAGATCAAATTAAAGCTCACTCCTTCATCTTTCATTTTCCTTTCAATTTCCAGTCAGTGGTTTAAGAGAAATCACCCCTCAAAGCCGTCATGAGGCCCATCACCATTTTGAAAACTGATGACTACACTCGATTTGGAGGGCCCCGTTTAGTTCAATATTTTCAGATGATAGAAGCTGTCAGTCCTGCTCCTAGATTCAATCCTCTTTGACAAACCACCCAGTCCACGTGCAACGAAATAATCTAATAGCATAGAATTTGACACCCTACAAATCGTGAATCGATCCGCGCAGGCAATTTTGGACCTATTCACTGGCCTGCAGCCTTAAAAGCTAGGTTCTGAGAAGAACCGGTGAATGCGAGTTGAGTTGGTGCGTGGTAATCGCCGTGGTCGGCGGATTTCTCGTTACGAATTCAGTACGCTGTACTGGAATGCTAATCATTCTCAAAGGCCCAGGGTGACCGCGTTAGCCAATTCTTGGCAAAATTCGACTTTTCTTTTAAAGGGCAGACATTTTCGCAGAATGATTTTTTCCCAGCAGATTTCAAGTAAAATGCTGCGAAAATCTGTGATTTTAACAGAAAAATATAGCAACTTTGTTCGGAACAAATTGTATAACCACTGCGTGTGTGTGTATAACTTGTTTATAAGTACGTGCACTTAGTGCCTTACCTAGGCATTAAAAAAAACCTCTGCGGGTGAGTTTAAGTATCTAAAACGTATTTCATGTGATTTTAGGTGGTTTGACAAAATTCAATTACATCTAGAAGAATCTGAAAGAGCAAAGTAGAATTCTGCTATTCTCATCTGGCCACACTGCACTGTGCTCCCGGTCAACACGTTCAGACAACTACAATTTGAGGTATGCATGTTTTGAGCAGCGGTATGGCAAACCAGGGATAAATGGAGTTACATTGCGTCAAGAAAGCCAAGCAGTAATTGAAATATCCTGAATTATGGACGAATCCGGTAACCATGGTAACAATTTTCTCTTTTCACTGTCAGTGGTACCTTTAACATAGCCCCACTAGTGTGGCACGGACTCTCACTCCAGATCCATCCTTAGCCACACTTCCGTATGCGCAATTTCGTGTCGGCGCACTGAACATTTTCGGCGCACCCACTTATAATCGTGGGCACAATTTCTTTTGTACACAAACATGATTGTTGACCGTTCCGCTTTCTAAAAACTATTTATTCAATGATTTCACTCACGTTATTCAGGTAATTTCCAGTCTTTTTGCCTTTATCCATTCAATCTAACGGGCTCACTCTCACAGTCGCCATCTTTAAAATAAGGTCGTTGAGCATTACGTCACTTGACCCCTTATTGTCTCGACGGCTGTTTCATGTCAAGACATCTAAACTGCTGCCAAAGTTTTGGAAGAGTCCATTGGTACGGTACATGTAGTATCTTATCGCTCAGTCCGTTTATTGTGTCTTGACATGGAACAGCCGTCGAGACGATGAGGGGTCAAGTGACGTATTGTTCAACGACCTTATTTTAAAGATGGCGACTGAGAGCGCGAGCCCGTTAGATTGAATGGATAAAGGAAAAAAGACGGGAAAATACCTGAATAACGTGAGTGAAATCATTCAATAAATGATACTTACAAAACGGAAAGGTCAAGAATCATGTTCATGTGCAAAAGAATTGCGCCCACGATGATAAGTGGGTGCGCCGAAAATGTTCAGTACGCCGACACGAAATTGCACATACGGATGTTTGGCTAAGGATAGCTACGGAGTGAGAGTCTGTGCCACACTCGTGGGGCTATCTTTAACAGTGGTATGTCCTGTGACAATTAATGCATATCTAGCCAATATGTGGCGACAATCACATCATACAGAAACCCAACAACTTGATGCTCCCTACGGTTTAAAAGTCGTCATTGGGAACTACGAATGAAACAAATAGAATGTATTTGTAACTGAACATAAACCCCGTGGACTAGGCCTACTGAATGCAAGCCAACAATGGTTCTAGAACATTACCACACTGCAACATCAACAAGTTCAGATATCATAAATACTATGGAAGTAATAACATATACATAAGATATCAATTCTTCATCAGAGCCGTTTCTCATTTTTTTAAGTTGCAAGTTTTTAAAACAAATATACATTTTCTTCTATATCTCGTACCTGACATAAACAGTAATTCTCCAAATTTGTATTAATAATTATAACATTTACATACCCAATTTTATGTGGGCTAAAGACAATAAAATTTATTCCAAAATAGCTGTTGAATTCATTAATATTTGTCCATTCAAGTTTTGTTTTTGTGGTCGCTTTAAATCCAAGCCTCTTTCTTGCACAAGTCTAGTAAGTCAAACTCGTAAGTCTAATTTGTAAGCGTAATTTCTTTCTGTTTTTCAGATCAAAGTTAAAGTCACAGTTTATTTACAAGGTCACAGTACTTTCCATAAAACACATAGATTTTTTCTTTTTCATATCAATAAAGACTTCCAAATACACATACGTAAGTTACGGCAAAATATTTTCGTAGTCGAAGAGCACATGCGGTACAGGAACACGTCAATGACAATCTAACCACTAAGTGGTGGACTCTGTCAAAATGAGGAATAAACTGTGGCAATTCTCTATTCGTGAGAAACTTGTGAATTTGAAGGTTCATTTCCACTTTGCTCTGCAATTTACATGTTACTAATAGTTTTGTTACTGAGGTGTCAAGTCTAAAACTTGGAATACAACTCTAAGGATTTTTCCTATTGTTTATATTTCAAGCACTATCACTGGTAAATTTAATATTGTGCAACATGTACTCAAGTGTAGTGCCCAAAGAATATGAATAAAAAGTACTGCATTTCTCCCTAACAATCAAGCAGTTCTTGGTGCATTGTGTAGTTGGAATCTTCAGAATTCCTCCACTGGTTTAAAGCTGCACGTGCACACATATTTATCATCCTCTATTCCTCAATTTGATGGAGCCATTAACAAGTATTTAAGTCTTAAGTCAGTTTTAGATAACGACAGGCAAGGAACACAAAATCAGTTCCTCAAAATGTGGTAAGCTCAGTCTTGGTAATTATACAAATACTTTTCGTTCATATTCTGTTTCAATAAAAGCTTAGCATACTTGAACCAATATGCCAGCATAGTCTGTCAAATATCTGTCTCTTTTTATAAAAATGCAAAAACTGCAGACTTGTCTTTTCTGAAAACTTAACGGTGTGATATTCCACACAAAGCCGACATTTTGAGAAACATTTTATGCTGCTGCCTTAACAAGTACTTCATTAAAGCAAAGACGTATACTAAAGTGAGACTACGTCAGCATCGTCTATATACAAAACGTACACGGTCATGTGATAAAACATTTAAATAGAATAAAATATAGAACAGCTAAGGTACATTTCAATATATCCAATATATTCGCTGTTACCCTTTCCATTTGGTCTTTGGATTAAATCAAGGTGTTTTGCCCAGTTTATAAACCAGTTCATACCTGCCTTAGAATTAAAATCAGATGGGCCTTGGATTTTTCTCATTTCTATTCATCCTTGAACCACACGTATCTTTAACCCTAACACTCCTCAGTCCTCCAACAGGTGAAGGATTGAGGAGGGTTAGGGTTAATGATTATTTAGGGGCTGTTTGTTTCACAGGGACCTGGATCACTATCAGTGATCGATCGTTGGGATCCCTGATCCAGATGCAGATCTGTGCTAGACAAGCAGGCCCACAATTCGTTAATAAAATACTTTTCATGTGCAAATTACTCACAGGTTCCGTCAATCGTAAGATTTAAAGTTTGTGAGAAAGGAGAATAAAAATTTTCAAGAATGTAATATGTCAACTCAACCTCCCCAGCCCCCTCCCCTCCCCTCCCCAGGGAGGGGTCATTACTCCTCTGTCAAATACTGAAAGCCAGACTAGCTGACAAAAAAAAAACAAGATATCTTGTGTCCACACTAATACCAGATTTGCTGTCAGCAAAAAAGCCGAGCTGACAATATGTTATTGATCAAAAATTGGCACAATCAATCCAATACTACATTTTAAATTCTACAAATTTTTGCTTGCATCAAGCATTTATATTTGAGATTACAATTACTTTGGGTTTACACCAACGTATACACTTGTCCGAGAGATTGTGAAAAAAAATTCACAAACTCACTCTGGTGGGACTCGAACCCGTGACCTCCTCACTAGAACCCGTGACCTCCTCACTAGTGCAGATGTCCTAACCACTGGACCACCGAGCTTGCCGGGGTCAGCTGGCTGGTCCGAGTCAGATGTAGCAGCAGGTACCATGAAATCGTTTCAAGATGTACTTTGTATCTGGGTGATGTTAATTTTTAATAACAGATTTTGCCCTTTGATTTTCCTAAGTTCATTTTTACCTCTCATACGCCTTTCTGCATCCCTTCGTTTCCCTTTACAGTAAACAACTTACCTTGAAAACCAATTTTTGTGGGAGAAATTGGTCTTTTTAAAGCACTTCCTCTGTGTAAACACTAAAGGGTTTTTGTTCATTGATTTCCTTCAAGACTTGCAATGCTATAAGATTTAATAGATGGCAGGGGTGTGGGTGTAGTCTTTCATTGGCACCCCACCAATATAAGACAAGATTTGTCAAAAATTTGAATGTAATGTTGGGCCCCAGGTATCACCAAGTGGTCAGCCACATTCTAAGGACTACAAGCCATAGTCTAGAGAGTAGGCAATACCTTCCTGGAGAAGACACCGCTGGTCTCATATTTCAAACTTGACAGTTGGTTGGGACTTGGGCATCTTGAAGCTGCCACCAGGGTTGAAACTCCCTGTTCCCTTCACACTAACTGAGGAGGTACTGCTGCTGCGGAAACTGCCCGTGGAGCCAGCCTGGGATCGTACCACGCTTCCCCCATAGGATACCGTACGAGCGGCTGCTTGCTTGGCGGATCGTTGGTGGGACTGGCCTGGCAGACTGAAACATCCCTTTCGTAGAATGAGACGGGAGTTCCCCACAGCTGGCCGGGACTGCCTGGCTAGGGTATCTAGGTGAGCTGCATAACCACCGCTCAGTATCTAATCAGAGAAATGACAGAAATATAAAAAATGTAACTGGTGCTTTTATGAGCATTGTCCATGATCAGAAGTTGATCACTGTCATCTGTCAAAATAAAGAATGAAGCATGCTGTAATACACATTTGAAAAAAAAAATCATAAAAAAACCTTGACTAATTGGGAAGATCACATTTCTGACTCAAGGTATTCCTATTAATGTTGGGACAAGTTCACCTGCAAGAAATACATGTATATTTGAATTTTGTTGATCAGTAAAAATAAATGAAAGAGAAATTGAACAGACAGGACACTGTAAGCTGGATTAACTAGATGCAAAATCTGGTGACCTTTTGTTAACTGGAGCAAAGACATCTAGAGAAAGATGACACAATGTTAAAGTGGGACCTAAACCTGAACATTTTCTTGGTACAAAGATTCATCTTGAATGGCCAGTTGATCAACAAACAGAAGGAAAGTAATGAAAAAATACAAAGACAATGTGATGAAGGTCAAGACACATAGTGAAAGCTACCCGGAAACAATGCACATGATTATTGGAGATAAGAATGAACGGCCTCTTTCACAACCGATGCCTGCACCATTTCTCAGTCAGTATTATTTTTGCTAAGAATGTTCCTAAACCCTTTAACCCTAACCTTCCCCAACCACACAGAATTAAGCAGTAGTAAAGTGTTTAATTCTGTGGGGATAGGTCTGGTAGGCCCATCAGAGCTGGCTTTTGCATTGCGTTTGCCATACCTCAGAAAAACAAAGTCCAACAGTCTCTGTGCACAAAGTCCCATATGGGTGTTTAACTTTGTGTGAATTGAGAAGGTTAGGGCCAGCAACCCTTGGGGGTTAGGGTTAACATCATCACAGTGTGGGAATGCAATTCAACTTGGAAGAGACTGCAAACCTCTCTATGAGAGTAGACGCACTTTGGTGGTCGTTACTGTTCTTGGCATGGTTTACTGCTCAATATTCTTTAAGCTTAGGTGGAGCATAAAAATGGTATAAGAAATCAAAAGGAAAACAATTTTTCACAATGCTGCAGAAAGGTATTGTTTTAAAAGCGTGCAGAAAATAATCAAATGGAAAGAGGCAGGAATGCTTCAGGTGTGTTTGAATAGTCCTTGCAGGCAAGTCTGCAGGTGAACTTGGAAAGCTAACCTTTATATTGTCCACAACAATGTTTGCCATGGTTGACTGCTTACAGATGGGAAATTCTACTTAACGACCAATGAAAAATTCTTTTTGTCAGACCTTTGATAACTCACATGTTCTTGTGAAATGCTGGGGTGTCATTATGACATCAAAACATTAATTTCCTGATTTGCATATTGGACAACATTCACTCGTAACAAAAACTGCTGAGTAGGTTCTACAAGTCCAGAGAATGCTACAATCTACATCATCAAGAGATTTACGATTAGTTTTTAAATGTGTACTATTTTCAGTATTCATAACTGATTTTTTTATTGAATTGGATGAGGTAATGTCAATTTGGATGTGTCAGCAAATGCATCTGAATGTCCATAAATGAATTACACCTAATGATGTGTAAGAGTTACGGAATAAGCTGCAAGAGAAACACTGTTTTACCATGAACAGGGGTACATTACCACTGAAAAGTATCCTAGGAATGGGCAATTATCTTCATGTTTTTCTTCCAAGAGAATTTTAGTTTCATTTCATAAAATGCGAAAAACTCCTCCCAAATTGATAAAACATTTTCAGTTATTCCCACATGTGTACAAAGATTTCAAAAGATTTTTCCAAAATGTGGGACAAGATTTTCACAAATTTTTCCCCAGAGGGGAGAATATTTTCACACATCTGCAAACTGTTAGGAAAAGATTTTTTCACAATCGGTAAAAGATTTTCATAAATTTTTCCAATAGGAAAGCATTTTCACACAAGTGCAAAATTATTCTCACGCCTTGTGAAGTGTGCATGTTAATTTGAAAGTGAATTTTTACCACAACCTCCCCCCTTTTCCCATGATGAGGTACAGAGTTTTAGTCACGCGAGAAAGTTGCTACAATATTGTCATACATGTATGTGCTCATATGGTCTGCAACATTATTCACCTGCGGGTATACAAGTTTACATCCTAGCCTATGCAGAACAATGTACGGTCGGTCACCCTGGCTCTGTTAACAAGGTGACTCCTTGTCACATCATGGGAATTCCAGAAATTCAGAGGTTGGGCTTTTTTTTCAAATTTTGGGGGTATTTTGGGTCAAACTTTGTCTCCGAAATATTTTTGAGTAAAGTCGCAAGAAAAACTTCTTGATTTTCCAAGTTTCTGTCACTTCTTGAAAACACAAACAATTTGAGTGACGGCTGATGGCAAATGGTTGAATTGCAAGTAAACATATACATGTACGTACAAAATAGAATCGTAAGTGATGGGGACCTGTTAAAAACAACAACGAAATGAAGTCAAACTCGGTGCTCAAAGTTATTCACAAGAAGCATCCAAGAGAAGTTTGATTTAAAAGCCTCACAGTTGCAGCAGAGTCTCCAATAGAAAAACAGAAAAGGAAAGAACGCCCCCGAAAAGAGAATCAACAGACTCCAATCTAAATCGATTCCAGATTGGTCCGTAGTTGTCAGACATTGCCAATCACACCGAAGGCATTAATCAAGGAACTCCATACATGGGTTAGGAACAGGTAAATGATTAGAGATTTTACAGGATTAAACCTACGGGCATGAACACCATGTTGGGAAAGTAACTGATATCTTTAGCACCACACACTCAGGTCAAAGTGCCCCTACTTCAGACACATTGTAAGGAGATGGCCCAAAAATCTCCAAGTCCTCACCATACTGCTTTTTTTTGGTAAACACAGGTGTTGTGCTAGCACATCATAGCACGGAATAGCCACAACTATGGGACGAGTTTGTGTATGATAGTCACAAATTAATACACTGTACTATCTAAAGTAATGGTGACTGAGCTAACCAGCCCAAAACCATCAAAATCCTACAAAAGTAGACATTGGGTTTTGTATGAGTTGGGAAGATAACAGTTAATGCTCTGTAACAGAAGATATTATTGACACACCATTTGAAGGCTTGTAGACTGAGAGAAAAAAAGACAAGTCATAAGAAAGACTTGATTGTTAATAAGGCTCAATTAAAGCTGGTTAATTTGCATCTTTTTGTTTCATTCATGATACGACATCTTGAACAAAAAAAGTTGAGACACGAAGGCTTAAGCATTAACAATCATTAGTTTGAGTTTGATTGAGAAAAATTTCAAACTTTATCATGAACATTTAAAAACCACTAGTTCTTTTATTTCAGAGCAGAAAAAGGGTGCTCTCTGTCAAATCTGCTCTTCAATCTGATTGGGCTTTTTGTGGTAAATAAAAACAAACACTGCATCACAACCTCATAAGTTTTTTGTTTTTTTGTTTTTTTTTTTACAAAATCTGAGGTTTTGCTGTAGCGTGACGGAAACTAAAAACAGGATAATTTTCTCTGAAAGGATTCTTCGATAAAATTCTGTTGATGCTCCTCTGTGGTCTGAGTTCCTCTGAGTGCAGAATGACAACAGTGTTTTGAATACGGCTACTGAGGACATGATTCAGCCGAGACTTGGTAATCTTGTTCAAGATATTCTACAGCAGTGACAGTTGAGTCTAAGCATTAGTGATCTACCGTCCCAATAAATGTCTCGTCAAATCTGTCCACTTTATCTCACCCTGCACTTCTCTTCCTGAATATCACCATGACTGCGTCGCCTCTCTGGGTTATAAGCACCCTAGACAAAGAGGATGTACAAGATGGAGTACACGACGTATATCACAAAATAACAACCATCTTACAAACATAATATATCCTAAAACCAATAGAACAAATTACCATTTCTGTTGATGTGAAAGACAATAATTGAACAGTAGTTTGAAGCCACAATTGATGAGGTAGTCTTGGTTTTACTGCACATATGCAAAGCCTCTGAAGAATTATGCAAAACAGCTAGTCATTGATGCTTTTTTTGAATGATACATGCTTTGACTGATATTTCTGATCTTTTGTTGGATATATAATTTCCTATTAAAGCAAAATGATCAGCTTAGAAGTTTGTGTAGAGCAGGGTAAGTCGTATCCAGCTTAGCTTGGATTTTGGAGGCACTGTCATGCTAGGTCAGATTAAACATGGCCGGGGGGTGGGGGGGAACTGTCTAATGCCCAACTACATGGGGCATCTCCGTCAGTCCAAGTGCTGCTCTGTTGCTACTTTCACTAAAGCTTAGGACTAAATTTGCAAACTGCCAGTGAAACAAGTGAATATCATCCTCTACATGAGTTGATGGCATTTACTACAACACACAACTGTTTAATGTGTGAGATATGAGGCACCAAATCTATCAATATTTCTACCACCCATAAATTAACGAGGGACACAAAATCCTCCTGAATCTCACCATGGCATCCTTATCAGCGATATCACCCAGGCTGTGCCTTTTTAGGAACCTCTGTGTAATACAGCAAAAACAAACATCCAAATCAATCTCTTGACCAAACCACAGTACACTTAATTCTGGTACAGCAAACAACAAAAACAAATTGGAGGAGACGATAGGTACCGACGCTTTGTTTATCAGTTAATTCGTATCTTTCTTGGAATGTTAACCAAGAACTTCTGAAGAAACCTAAAGAGAGAAAATGCAGAACTATTTAGTAGGAGAGTAGACAGAAAACTTGAATGACTTTGGCCTAAATCAGACTTGGACCAGCCAACAACAACAGATCAGTTTGGAGACAGAACAACAACAACTTTTTAGCAAAGTGTCAACCTGGCTCTTTCTAAAACTCTAATACATCCCTTTTTAGATGTAACTCAACATCTTTATTTTTCTCCATGGACAAAATTCTCACATAGAGCTAATCCTGCACTCTACAGAAAAGTGGGGGTTTGGGCTGGGGCACATCCACACCGACGTATCACATATAACATGGCTTGATAAAGATACAAAATAGTTCATTTAAAAACAGTACTGCTGAAAATTTCTACTTCGATAGACAATAATCTTGATTGGCCAAACTTACCTGAGCATGAGTTTGGTATTTCTTGGACACTTTACCCACGATGTAGATCTGTGAGGGTCGCAGACCGATGGTTGAATACACCCAGATATCCTTGCTGGAACCATAGGCTGCATGGATCACCATCTTGTGCTGCAGTGGTTGGGGACAAAAATCAAAGGACACAGGTCACAAACAAAGTCCAAAATTCTGTCTCCAAACTGATCTGCCTTTACATTGGTGCCACATGAGTATGCAGAGTTAGTGTCCAAGTAATTTTGTCAAGTGCTGTGGTGCAATGTGACCAAGTTGGCAGATTTTCCAGTCTGGAAAAGACTGACCAGTTAGCAGATTTCACCATGTGAAATCGTATTTAGGAGTGAGATTGTGAGAAGAACCCTTCTTAAATACCTCAGACAATTGCCTTATTCACCAACACGAACGTGACCCTGTATTAACATTTGATAATGCCCACTATGATTTGATAATGCCTTCTTCGTAATGGCATCCTGGATATGAGACAGTTTAATCCATTCCTATTGGTCAAGATTCTGTGTGCGCCGCGGCACACAGAACGCACCACCCATGCACCAATTCCATATAAGGAGATTCTTCTGGACTACTTGCACAAAGAATACACCATAAAATGGATGGGGGTGTTTGGGAAAATGAGCCAGTCTAGCAGAATACACCTGTTCTTTTCAGAACTCTCTTCATTCCACAAGAAATTCCAACTTCATTACACAGTTTAAGCCCATCAAATAAACATTCCAAAAATAGTTTGATGGTTGTGGTAATAAGTTTGACACCTGCTCAGTGATGCTCTTGAGATAGTTAGCCTTCTGTCGTAGTGGATCGGTGGACAGTCCGTCGATGAAGTACACCATGCCGTGTGGAAAGTTATGCTGCGCCAACCAGGCTACTACTTTCTGTTTCTGCATGCTGGGTCGGGCTGTAATGTAAATGATCAGGTAGTTCAGATCCTGCCAATGCCTGGAAAAATGAAGAAAAATGCAAAAACAAATCCATCACTGAATCTCCTGGTTCCAGTGGCTATATAAACCTCCATTCCCTAGATAGATACAATTGTAAGAACCGTTCCGGAATTCTCCTCAATCAAGCTCTTGATGAACACCGACTTGCAGCAATAAACTACACTCTATTCATCTGGTTCAACAATTTTTGCTTTTGATACCCCCACAGATACCCTCAAACTTAAACAAGAGCAGTTGGCCAACGTCAAACCTCAACACTTATACAAAATAGCATGCACAAGGTCACGAATAGACAAACAAACCCAAAAAAGAAAACTGCTTGTTGGTGACAAACAAACTCAAAAAA